CCCAATGGCTCTGCATTGATAAAGCATGACTTTATGAATGGTGGGATCGCTGCTCCAAAAAGGAGCAACAACTGACTTGTTCCAGTTTTAAAATGACCTGTTTTGAATGAATTAGAAAAATGTTATCCTCCGATCTCAGGGGCTTGGCTGCTGCTAGGCTTTCGGGCATGAGGGTAAGGATCCTGRCTCCCACTGTGCTGCTGATCGTGTTCAGGAGGACCCTGCGCTGCCGCTTTGCAGCCTTGCCCTGGAGCCCAGACCCTCGTGGTTCCCRGTTAGCAGTTCACAGGGAAGCCCCACGTGAGTGCACAGCTAAAAGGTGGGAGTCAAGGGGGTGCCAGCCCAGGGTGTTAGCTCTAATCCAAGTTGGATCACATCTTGAAATGCATAGTTAGTAAGCAATGCATTAAGCAATTGAATGTAGGTATTTTAACAAGACTTTGTTGTTTAAAAAAATTAAGAGATCTAAATGGCCCCAGGATACACTGTTGTAACTGTGTCTTGGTTCAAGCCTCTCTAATACTGTGCAGAGAAGAAATCTGTGACTGCAATTTCTTTGTTCTCTCTTCTTTAATGTCACAGCTTCACAAAGCTTTTTATTTAATGATTTGCAAATTACAATTAAAAATCTGGAACCAAGTACTTAATGGTAGGGTACCGCCCTAGTAATCACAGCTGGGGAGGATTTGAGACAAAAGCCTGTGTTGTAAGTGGCTTTGTTCTGGAGGGAGCTCGGATGTGAGGGATCAGGTAAGAGGCCAAGCAGGAGGCACCTCTGCTACCCGAACTGCTGTCTATAGAGGTGCAGCTGAGYGGCCTCCAGTGACACTGCAGAACTGGTGGGATCCTTAGGAACACGAGGTGCTGAGCGGCTGCTGTGGCCTTCGTGCCGCTTTGGGCAGGAGAGTAAACAGGCCGCGAGCTGCATGTGCTGCACGTGCTGCATGTGCTGCGTGCCCAGCGTCACCGCTGCGCTCTGTGCAGGAAGCTCCTCTCAGAGCCTGGCCTGTCCCCTCTGTGTCCGGGCTCTCCTGAGCTCCCTCCGTCCTGCCCGGGCACAGGCGCCTCTGCTCTGGAGAAAAGTGACAGGGGTGGCGCTACCGCTGTGTAGGGTTCATCTCTCTCTTGGTTTTCCCACTGACCCCAGAAAGTATTAAATGTAATTAAACCTTAACATTAAAAAGTAGCGAAACATTATTTATTCCAGCTTCTAACTGAACTCAGAACTCCTTTGTTGGTGTGAAACTTGCCAGTCACACTGAGACTTATCAAGTCTAGCAGCTTTTCAGGAGGTAGCCCGTGACACGCCAGGGCTTGCAGCAAGGGCACAGAGCAGAGTCTAAGCAATAAGATTTAGGATAATGGGGATTCAGGTTTTTTTTTTTTTTTCCCAGTGGGCTTGTGTGAACAAGACACCAAAAACGTATTTGCAAGTAACCCTAGAAAACATTACAGCCCTACTAATTCAAATGGTGATTTTTTTCTGCTCTCTTTTGCAATATTTCTTTTGTTTGTACTTGTGCCATAGAGCTTCTCCGAGAGCATGTCATTTTTGCTGCCACTTCTCTGAACTATTTTCTTAATTTCACACGTGCTGTTTGGAGTAGAGGACACAGGTGGTATGGTTAGAATAAAAGCACTGCTTGTGTCTAAAGGATTATYCCCTTCTGCTGTGCAAGGTGCAAGACATCTGGATATGTGTGTCTCAGAGGGAACAAAAGCATCAAAGCTATAGTAAATATTTAGGAAGTAACTCAGTGGCTGCTGAGTTCCAGCGGCCACGTTGGAAGCTGAGGGGATGGGTGGATGACCATGGGGACCTGCTCCGTGCGCCCTGTCCCTGCTGAGTGCAGGCTCTGCTCCGCACAGGACCTGGCACCAGGGGTGTGCGGGCGCTGTGCGGACCCGGGAACGCCGGTGTTCACGGGAGAGGAAGGAGAGAGATGGGAGAGGTGTTGGGAAGGGGGAGGTGGAAGCAGCTTCTCTGCTGTGGCCCAGGGCAGAGGGGCCTCCCTTTGGGCCCCGACCCCGCTGCTGCTCCGGAGGGCTCCCGAGTGACCCCCATTGTGCCTGGGAACCTTCAGCTTCCCAAGCCTTGGGAAGTCTAGCAAGCAGCTGCACCTAAAGGAGCTTTCCACCTTTTGCTTCTCAAATGTTTATTTTCTCTATCTATAATAAAAAATACTATTTAAGGGTTCAGCATTTGAAAACTAGGGGAGAAGGGAGTTTGGTTTCTTGTGCAAAAATTCCTTCCAGGAGCATGTTACATTCCAGCCTTTAATTATAGTTCCGTGCTGTTCTGCCGCAGAACTCCTTTCCTTCAGGTGTCTAAAGGCTGTATGTACAAGGAGGCACAATTAAAATTGCATCAGCAGCTCATAGTTTGTCTTGTAATTTGTTAGATGAATTAACACTTTGGATGTAGTAGAGCTTCGCAGTTCAAATCTTGAGCTAATTGTGCCACTAGTGTTTTGTGTGGGTGAGATAGCTTACTGTGGGGATGTTTTCCTGGAATAACAGCTGCGGAAATAGAGACAAAATTCAGACAATCATCCGAAGTGCCTCCTGCCAAGCAGTGCTGAAGAAGATAAGTTAGGTGAGTTTCCACAGAACAGCCTTCCCAGTTTTCATGCTCGAGCTGAGTGAGATGTCTGAGGGATGATGGTTTTTAATTTCCCTGCCCACGCACATGCCCGTCCCCCGGCAGCGGCTGAACGCGGTGGCGCCGCTGCTCCCAGCTCCACTGTGCGTCGTCCAAAGCGCCTGCCGCCTCCTCTGTGAATCTTCTCTTCTGCAATCGCAGTTTCTGGAAGTATTTATTGCTTGAGGCACTAAATGTACTTTGTATGTAAGTACATACTCTTTCCTGCTCTGTTGCTTGGGCTGGAGGAGGAATGAAGAATTCACAGCTGAATAACTGAAGCATTAAAAATCCCTAAAATCAGAGGAGAATTTTGTTTCAAACTTATCTGTGGTTCAATTACCCATTGAGTTTCCAATGTTCTTGACTATAAAAGCACGTATGAGGACATGTACAATGTATGTTTGCCTTTAAATATATAAATGTGATTTTTTTATAATATAAAAATCTGATAAAGGAGGAGGCAGTAACTGCTTTTCCTCAAAAAAAAAATGAACAAACAAAACCCCCCAAACCAACGATTTGGTTAATTATGTGCAATAGCCTAGGACCCGATGTAACCCTGCAGCTTGCAAGCATGCAGATTTATTTGGCAGTAAAACGCCAAGAGCAAAGTGASTGTGTAGCTTGCTAAGCAGCCAATAAATCTAGGTTATATCTTCCTTCCTTGGTCAGGAAACAAGGCAGCTATTTTTAAATCTGGCCTTCCTGTGCACACTGGAATAAAGTGATTTTTCTTGCGCTAGACACAGCCCGACAGTTCTTTCCCATTAGCTAATGGGGTCTCGCTGCTGCTCCTGGTGTGGCTGGGGAGAAGAAGTTACCACGGGCGTTTGTGCCAGCCAGTCTGGGCCTCCGTGCCCAGGACAGAGTGGCACCGGGGCTGTGTGTGAATGGGCCCGTAGACATGAAAGTGTGTTTTGAACTTCAGTGATGTTAAAAATGCTTTTGGACTCTTTAGTCCAATTTAATAGCTTCGGAACCGAAGCCACGTCGTCATCCAGGTAATAACACTAGGCTTGGATGGCCACTTAGTGGACTTGAGGGCCATCCAAGCCTAGTGTTATTACCTGGATGACGAAGGGCTTTGGTTCCAAAGCCGGTTCTGAAGCTTCATTATTGGTTTCAATAGTGACTCCCTGCCTAATTTGGCTTATTTCGGCCAGAAGCTTAATGAATCTGCCAGCAGACTTGAGGTGAGCAAGCAGACTTGGCCAAACCCTGGTTTGCTGGGATGTGCTATAACCTCAAAGCAAAAATGCCTATGGGGTGAGGTGGGGCAGAGCCTCCCAACACTGACACTCTGGACCAGACGCTTCTGTGGTTGAGAAATGCAAGCGCTTTGTAGGAATGAGTAGAGATGTTGTATGTTTGGAGCGTGGCATACAGTAACACTTGCAGTGTTGCACTGTAGCATCTGCTTTTAGCCAGTAATAGTTATTTTAGCTTCTCGGCGTGCTTGCAAACTGTGCTTTTGTCTTTATTGCTACAGGTGAGGACAAAAGTGCTATAGTTTAATCTCCTCCTGTTGTACGAGAGCTATAGTTTCAATTTAGTGGTCTTGTGGTTATGGGTGACTCTCCCTGTGTGTTTAGAAGATGTGAGATCCAAGCTGGCCTGCACTCCCACCATAAACCTATGGGAGCCATTCAGGCAACCGAGTACCCGCTGCCTCGGTAGTGCGAGTGTCTGTGCATGTTCATGAGTGAGCTGAAGAAAATCTTACTTCATATATATTTCAAACTAATGACATTTAAATAAAAAAGTATATATTAAAGTCTTGCACAAATCTTGCTCTAAGGGAATAGTTTTGAACTTGCCGCAGATGCTCTTTCTTTCTACCTGTCATCTTGTGTTTCTTTCATTTGAGTTTTAGCTCAATGTTCTTCTCCAAAAAAATGTATTTAAATATTATTCCCAAATTATTGCAATTTTTGTCAGTGTTTGAGCATAAAAACTTCTGTGGAAAGGCATGTGCAAATCCAAATATGAATGTCGCAAGTGACTTGAATTGTCTTTCTCTTGTGAAAAGGTTTTCTTACTCAAAGGTTAGTGCACTAGGCATCTGACTCCCAATCTGGAGAATTTTTGCTGTTGCTTACAGGGAGACTTTGGAATGAATGTTGCTTTACCTGCCTGCCCATTAGCTTTCCTTTGAGGCAAGGGTAGAGTGAGGATTCACAAGGGAAACAAGGAAACAGAATCTAATTAACTGTGTAAATGACTTGTGTTTCCCTAATTTAATTTTGGTGGTGAGGGGAGGTTTGTTTGAATAGAAGCCAATTGATTAGTTTTAGAATTAAATTGTAACTGTAGCTGACTAAGCACTAATGATTCTGTTTTGTTTGTTTTTTTCCAGGTCAATCAGAATGTGGAAATTCAAAGGTCCCGTCTGCGAGATGATATTAAGGAGTATAAATTCAGAGAGGCACGTTTGCTGCAAGACTACACGGAGCTCGAAGAGGAAAACATCTGTCTCCAGAAGCAAGTGTCTGTCCTGAAGCAAAATCAGGCAAGTTTTCTCAATAGCAAGCGTGGCTGTAGTAGCACCAATCAGTTCCTGTACTGCAGCACGTGCTTGTCTTGTCTGAACAACTGCTGCTCTGTTGAGACTAGAAACTCCCATCTTGTAGCACAAAGAGATGTCCTTGATGTCCTGCTCCTTTCTGACTGTGTTCCCACATGATCATGCAACTTTATTGCTTCTGTTTTGACCTCCACATCCTTTCGTTCCCRTCTTGTTCTTTGTTGGAAGTAGCATCTTTAGGCTTTGCTACATTAGTTTTTTTTGAGCCCTTTGCAGTACCTGCCTCTTCTACAGTGTCTGTGACTGGTGTAATTCTCAACATTTATTCTTAATGACACTTCGTGCTTGCATTGCCTCTCCAGTTCTGTGCTCTTCCTCTCTTCTAGCTGCTTTCATAAAACATGGACCACTGTTATAGTTGCTCTGTGCTGTCAGACCTGTGTGACTGCACTTCTGAAAAGTCACATTTAATTGCACAGTTCCAGCTATCTTCAGAGTCTTAGAAAAGAAAACTGCATTTTTGGAACAACTCAAGAATTTCCCTGAGTTATCATTTGCAGAGGTAATTAGATTAGACATGGTCTTTAGCTTGATTCAGTTATTTAATCTATCAACCAGAGTCTAGCTATTTTTCTTCCTCAAGTCCATGCTATCCTCAATTGGGAAAATATTGTGATATATCTGAAATAAAAAGCTCTTGAAGAAAACAAGAATTTTACTTCCATCTGTGAGCACATAACAAAAGCTTGTTAGAATTTGCTCTTTTTTAGTCATATCTCTTTCTTAGGGAGCTAAACAGAGCTGCCCTACGAGTGAGGCATGTGGGATACTGGATATTTTATATCCCTCCATGTCAACGTGTATTATTTTGGCTACAGTGTTGTGCATCCCTGCCCAAAAGGGAGTTACAAGTTGGACCATGGATCTCACCTGATCATGATGCTTGGGATACCCTGACATCGTGCGGCTGGGATGAAGGGGCCGTCACCCTCTGTTGGAAGATGTAGCAGATTGTTGATTCTAACCCATGTGTTAACTGCTTCCGACTTCTGTTTGCCCTCCCTTCCTCTTTTCCCTGCCCTCATTCATTGTCTTGGGAAGTTCCCAGYGCTGTGTTCACACTCTTGACTGTATCCAAGAATGCTGCCAATCTAGGCAAGCCAAACTTAACCTCAGATGTTATCTTTTGAGCTACCTGGCTTATTGACTACTGTTCTTGTGTGCCTGGATTCTTTGAAAATATGCTGTAGTCGTAAATATTTGGACTCAGTGGGTATATTTAGAACCAAGAGCAAATACTGTTTGTGAAAAATGGATGGTTCTTGTTTTTATTACCTCGTCATAATTTTGCTTGATGAACTTTATTATCAACAAAACAACTGAGATGAACAGAAGAATGTCAAATTTTCCCAGCTTAGAGCTTTCAAATCAGACCCGACATGATTGGTTCTTGGTTTTAAAAGAAAACAGGTGCTGCTCAGCACTACCAGGCTGGTGTATAGCAGCATCTGAAATTCCTTGGACTGTTGGCCAGGCAGTTTTCATTACCTTTCCCACTGCTAATTGTTGGTGGTCATAATTTCAGCATACAGAGGGTATAAAGGACAATTTTATAGCTAAAGAAATTTACAGTACRCAGTCAGCCTCGTGGTCCTGCAGCATGAAATCTGATTTCCATCCTTTTCAAGATGAAATGATAGCAACAAAAGTAATGAAAAGTTCTATTTTGAATGTGTAAAAGCAGGATTTTACCTCTGAGTGCCTCCCAACAGTTCTAAGCCCAYTGGCATATTCTAATAGCAGTCTAGTAGTGCATAGCTTTGGGATCCCAGGGTTTGAAAATGCTGAGATTGAGTTTGTGGGAAGGTTTGTCAGGGGATTTGTTAATCAAACATAGAAGGAGTTTGCATAATGTGCTGGGAAGCCTGTTTCGTGGTGCCTCTGTATCACACACTGCATCTCACAATTTACCTTAATTAAGCTGGAGTACATCATCTCATTTACCAGTTCCCTGAGAAATTTTGTTCCTGTTCTTTCTGAAAGTGGATTAAGCAGGCAGTGTGTACAGTCATAGTACAGAAATTAGGCTCTTGAACCGAATAAAATAAAATGTCCTTCTTGCCATGCTAGGGGAAATGTACACAAAAAATATAATTACTGGTACCTTGCAGGCAGACATTTCCATTACAAGTTTTCTCCCCTTTGTATATCCCCAGGTGGAGTTTGAAGGTCTGAAACATGAAATCAAAAGGCTCGAGGAGGAGACAGAGTTCCTCAACAGCCAGCTGGAAGATGCCATACGGCTGAAGGAGATCTCTGAACGGCAGCTCGAGGAGGCCCTGGAGACGCTGAAGACGGAGCGCGAGCAGAAGAACAACCTTCGCAAGGAGCTCTCCCATTACATGAACATCAATGACTCCATGTACAACAGCCACCTGAACATCTCTTTGGATGGACTGAAATTCAGCGATGAAGTCACAGAGCCCAATAATGATGAAATTATGAATGGATTCGAACAGAACTGCCTCAGCAAACTTAGCAACGGCAAGAATAATACATCCACCCCCAAGAAAAATGAAAGCTTCCCTCCAGCTCCAAGTCTGGTTTCAGATCTTCTGAGCGAATTAAATATTTCTGAAATCCAGAAACTGAAACAACAGCTTGTACAGGTAAAAGTGTTTCCAAAATAATTAGGTGCTTCTAAGCAGTAACTAGCTGACTGAATTTCAGGCTTCTCACCTTATGTGGTCACTGTACAGTTTGAACTATATTTGTAGAACCTCTGGATTTCTCTGAGAGAATTTGAGGATGTTAAATTCTTGTCAGTGGAAATCCATACCTCTCTTGATCCAAAGAAGACACAAGTCAGTCATGCCCTATATTTGGAGGAGTGTCAGAAGGCATTTTCTCTGCAGTAAGTGTTGTGCCTAYGTATCAGGTGATTGGCAGCAAGAAGCACAACCAATGGCTGAAGTATTTTCTCCATAAATGCTAACCATTCAAGACATCTTCATCTTCCAAAAATGTTTCTTTTTGTAAACCCATGGAAGACCTTGTGCGGGATGAAAGCTCCTGCAGTAATGTAGTTCATACAATTAACTCTATGTTGAGCAGCCTATTTAGTGAAATTAAACCTCTTCACATATGGTATCTGAGAAAATATATCATAGATATGTAATATCTGTTTTCAGTAATTGAATAATATGCATTCTTAATGTAAAGCATTTCTGTGTTATATACAAGTTTTTGGCAGGTTCGAGAGTTTGAAGGAAAGCGCATAGTTATGTTGCCTAGAAATCTTTTAAAATTACCTTGTCAATAATTAMAGAAATGAGCTTTTTAAGTAAAAGCTTTTGTGGATTAATTGATCTCTAAAGGTCCCCTCCAACCGTAAGGATTCTGTTATTCTATGATTTTGGGAATGGAAATGACAGATTTGGGGAAGAACACTATGTTTGAGATAGCTTGGGAGTAAATAAAATATCTTTTTGTATAATGTGCAAATCATCAGGTTTCTGTAACCACAAGGATTTTGGCTGTGGCTAGCTTGCTTTTCTTGCAATAAAATAAAGGCAATTATGTAATACTGTTTCCTGTAAATAGATGTCTGTTTTCGTGCATTTCAGATGGAAAGAGAAAAGATGAACTTGTTAACTACACTCCAGGAGTCTCAGAAGCAGCTGGAGAATACGCGCGGAGCCCTCTCAGAGCAGCATGAGAAAGTTGGCAGGCTCACAGAAAACCTGAATGCCATGAAGAAGCTCCAGGTCAGCAAGGAACGCCARTCTGCCCTTGACAACGAGAAGGATCGAGACAGCCATGAAGATGGAGACTACTATGAAGTTGACATCAATGGGCCGGAGATCTTAGAGTGCAAATACAAAGTGGCTGTGGCAGAGATTACTGACCTGAAGGAAGAACTTAAAAGCCTTAAGGCCAAATACAAGGAGTGTGAGTCTAAGTATGAGGAGGAGAAGAGCAGATATGAGACTGACAGCCAAGCTCTCACTGAGAAGATCACCTCCTTAGAAAAATCCAGTAGGCATGACAGAGAACAGGTGGCCAGGCTGGAGAAGGAGCTGAAGAAAGTCAGTGATGTTGCTGGAGAAACACAGGGCAGCCTCAGTGTGGCCCAAGATGAGCTGGTCACCTTCAGTGAAGAACTGGCCAATCTGTATCACCACGTCTGCATGTGCAACAATGAAACTCCRAACAGAGTGATGCTGGATTACTACAAGGAAGGTAAAGGAGGACGCAGCAGCCCAGAAGCTAAGGGAAGAAAATCTCCTATTCTTCTTTCTAAGGGGCTGTTATCTATAGAGCTAGGAAAGCCAGAGAGTGGAAGCGGCGACACCAGCCCGTCTCCAGTGTCATCTCTGCCATCTCCTGTGTCAGATCCTCGGAAGGAGCCAATGAACATTTATAACTTGATTGCTATAATACGCGACCAGATCAAACACCTACAGGCTGCTGTGGACAGAACAACCGAGCTGTCCAGACAGCGCGTTGCCACCCAAGAACTTGGACCAGTAGTAGACAAGGACAAGGAAGCTCTCATGGAAGAAATTCTGAAGCTGAAGTCCCTGCTAAGCACCAAGAGAGAACAGATAGCGACTCTAAGGACTGTGCTAAAGGCCAACAAACAGGTAAGCAGGGTCCTACAGGCATAAAAGTTACGGTCACAGGAAAGAAGGTCGTGAGAGCTTATCCTTGAGGATGTACTGCCATTCCCTGAACTCAGTAGGCTTTTTGTTGCTGGTATCTGAAAAGACTGAGAAGCTGAGGTGTGCTACTGTGAAGCAGAATGCCAGGGTTTTGGCTAGCTTTGGTTTATCACATATTATTTTTTTGTTTGAGTTTAATATTAGCTTCAGTCTAGGATCTATTTAAATTATATTGAATGCAGTAAACCTAGAATGAAGAGCTAGTGATTGTTTCCTACTTGAAAGAATTCTGACAATTTCCCTTAAAGTAGTTCCTAAATGTATATCCTCTCCTCTCTCAAATTGCTTACTAAAATAAACCTTCTCAAGAGGAGGGTGTGATATAAGAATACGGTTAATAGAAGAGGCAACAAAAGTAAATCTTTCCTCAGAGGTTGGACAGTGCCACTCAGTACCTGTTAGCAATGCAGTAGATTAAATAACTGTCATGAGAACATCATGTGGCTACGTGATGTCTCCTYGGAAGGTAATGCAAGCTGAAACTGTCTTGAGAAGAGGAAAAAGAAATAATTAGATACTTGAGGTTTTTTGCTCATATTTTCATATAAAAGTTTTCCAAAATAGAAGGTATACAAAATGCTCTTTGAAGGCTAGAGAGCTGTCAAAGCTTTTGTTGATTATGTATCAATATAGAGCTAGTAAACAGATTTTTTTTTATGTTATGGGTTGAATTATGAAGTGTCTAATAGTTGGAGATAAGTGCCACTAAATGTGTTTTCTGTAACTCCGTAAATACTGCTGTCATTTCCTTGGTTAATGCGAGTAGGAACCCTGTATATCTGATCTCTTTCCAGTATTCAAAATGCCCTTTTATTTAATCTGCACAAGCAATTGGGCAGAAGTGCAGCATTCCGGGGCTAAGTGAGCGTTTCCTTACGGGCATGGCCACGGGAAATGCCTTAGCCGAGCGCTCGGTGTGCGAAGGGCTGCGCTAACAGGGACCTTTCCACCTTTCCACCCCGGTGATCCCCAGACTGCAGAGGTCGCCCTTGCCAACCTGAAAAGCAAGTATGAGAACGAGAAGGCCATGGTGACGGAGACGATGATGAAGCTGCGCAACGAGCTGAAGGCTCTCAAGGAAGACGCTGCGACCTTCTCTTCCCTGAGAGCAATGTTTGCTACAAGGTAACAACTGTCCGGCCCTGAGAAGGGTCTCTGCAGAGTGCATCCTTCCTGGCGCGTGGGTGGGAAGAGCAGGATCTCCTGTGCCAGCAGCAGGGCTGCCTGTGTCGGTGTGGGTGGGAGGGTGCAGTTCCCAGGGTTGTTGCTCGTGTGTTTGTCTGTGAGGTTATTTCTGCAGATAAATCCGTACTTCTTCTCTGGTCAGGGAAGGTTCGCAGCTTGGCTGCAGGCAGAATGCATCTCCCTGCTGTCAGCAGCTCTTTCCTCCAAGTATTCGTTGCTTTGGTAAGGTAGACTGGGAAGTTCTTMGGGTTCACTGAGGAGATCCTTGGAAATTACAAGCAGCCTGGTTTTTAGGTTCTAGTCAAATATCAGTATTTAACAGCCCAAATTATTTAGTAATCATTGTAAACAACCTGATAAAGGAGCACCTTATAACAGCCYATAGCAAGTCTGATTTCTTCTGTGGCCAGCAGGTTTGTGTCAGCAGAGACACGTGCTCTGGGTGTTCACCCTGCTCTGCTGATGTGTGCTGCTCTGGGAGGCAGCCCACTGTTGCATACAGATCTGTATTTTCCATAGGAAACCTCCCGTTTTGTAGGATGCGAGAGAAGTTGTAACAATACAGGCTGGCCATGGAAATAGTAACTGACCTAATTTCCTTCTTAAAGTAGGTTAATCCTACTAATTTGACAATACTCTCAGCTATCCTTAATAAGGAATGAAAATACTGCAGGACCTGAGCCTGGAGACAAAGGCAGGCTTGCAAACCACAGATCATAGCCCCCAGTAATAGGGTGCTGTTGAGGCTGTTGCATTGTTTTTCACAGCATTGAGCTTGAAATTAAGCTGTGAGACAAAGGAATAAATCAAAACTTCCCAAGACAAGTGCTGCATTACATGCACACTGCAGAGAAGTGCAGGCACTAACTGTGCTGTTCAAGTCCAGCTTTTCTTTGTCAACGCATGAATGTTGCTCTTGTACATACAAACAGACGAGAGCACTTGGGCCAGATTAAAATCTGAAAGTGGAATTTATCTGCTTAATTAGGCTCTAGTAGCTATTTATGTACCAGTGTGTTACAGTCCAGGGCTTTGGTGTTCCATTAGTAAATTCTCTCTGCACTAGCAGAAAGATGCAATCACTTCTGCCTGTAAAATGCCAAGAGAAAATGAACATTTGTTTTTGTTCTACTTTGTCAAGCAGGTTTGCACTTACTAATAGGCAGCTTGGGTGCTGCTAAATGTAAACGGGGGGGCAGAGGGGAAAGGCTTGACCAGGCAGCAYGTGTTCATCAGGCTGAAGCTGCAGCTTTATTACCAAGATGTGAAGATCACAGAGGAGGTAGGAAGTAGTGTTATATCCAGGTGCAATTGGTCACATCATTTTTATTTCTAGTGCAAGTCTTTGTTCAATAGTGAATTCAGCTGTAGCTATTATAAAGTATATTGCACATTAAAGCTTAAAAGAAGTATGCAGAAGTAAGGCARTACAGACTTCTGTAGGAAGTAGTGGTCTGCAGCTATGGAAAAGGAGATAACCCCATTGTCATGTTTTAAAGGATTACTTGGCTCCAGATGGCATTTTAATTTCTCATAATTATAATCAACATACAGGAGATATATATATTACATGCACACACATRCGCACACAMACACACACAGATGTATTTTTCACTCTGTGTAGGTACTTGTTGGTGGCTTTTTGGTATTGTCTTTTAATCTAGCTGATGTTTACGTAAACCCCTATTTTTGTTGCTGTTAATAACCAGTGATTAGGAAAGAAGCAACATCAAAGCTTTCTGTTCAGTATCCACTTAGAAACATAAATGTGTAAATGCACAGCAAACTTATGCTAACTTAATGCTGTTTTTTAAGGCATAAAAACTCGATTATTTTTGTATCAAAGGTGTTTTTAAAACAAAGACATTTTGTATTCTGCCTTTCTAATGCTTTTGCATGTAACATACAGGTGGGAATTTTCTCTGCATTATAAGAATGAAGGATGTTGTGTCATTGCATCTGCAGAGCAGCGAAATACACGTCAGCCCAAGCGAGCTGCTGGGGCCGCCCGCAGTAACGCGTCGAGGTGACGTGGTGGTTCCGGGGGCTGTGCTTGCTCACAGTGCTCGGGGAGGCTGCCCTTTCTATTYGAGCAAATGGAATTGGGAGCTGGACAACAGCAGGAGGCAAGCGGGGCAAATCCCAGCCTGTGTCTGCTCCCGGGAGAATCCCTGGGAGCTGGGAGCACTGCTGTGTGGGTGAAATGCTGCTCTGCAGCCTGCAGCGYTCCTGGGCCCCTCTGCCAGGGGAAGGGGGGGTTGGTTGGTTGTTTTCTGTATCTTTTCCTGTGACTTAAAGTCCCGGAAAGCAGGTTCAGGGTGCACCCTCTGCGTTCACACTAGGTAATGCTTCTTATTTTAACCCATTCCCGTTATACAGATGAGAAAATAGTTATTGAGGTGCAATAAAAGTGGCTACTGTGGGAATGCTACTGGTAACAAAGGATCCTTGAAGAGGAAGGAAAAACTCCCTGTGCTGGAGCTGTAATGGAAGAAGCATAAATGGGAAATGCTAATTTAGATATTTAAAATGGTGAATACCTTGTCATTTTTAAGGGGAGTCATATGATGTTTTAAGCCTTTATGCTGGCAGAGAGCTTGATGAGGTAATGACTTTTACAATAACCTTTTGGAGTGAAGATTAGGCCTTTAATTATAGCTTAGCTCCCTTGCAAAGTCCTTTATTGCCCGCTAGGTGCTGACAAGCATTTGAGTGTGTTAGCAGCCAGCACTCGGATTTGGTGTTAAGTGACTGTCTTTGATCAAAAGGTGTTTGATTCATCGCAGAAACGCTGAGCAAGGAGGACTAGGAACATGAACATGACTGCGTGGGAAGTCCGTGCRTGGCCTTGTTCTCTTCCCGCCTCATCCCATGCAGGACAAGGCCAGGAACGGCCTCGTGGGGCGGCAGATTCCCTCGCGCTGGCCGGGGCGGGCAGGGCCGTGAGGGCCGCTCGTTCCCTGTTCGTCTGGCCTGGGAGCTTCTCCTCTGTCCCAAGCAAAACAAAAGAAACCTGAAAGCATTTACTCGATAGTGGCCCCAAATCCAAACCCCCCAAATCCACATGCTGTGCCAAGCTACACTGCAGATGTAGTCCATGCAGACTTTATATGRATATTTCTGGGCTGTATAATCTCAAAGAAATATATATACAGGTGTTCCTCTCACAAACAGATATAATTAGGATGAAGACCTAGTTCTGCTACTGGAAGTCAGGGGAGCAAATTTTGATATCCGGTCCTATCAGCAGAGCTGGTGAATCTGCTTGTGAATGTAGTTTTGTGTCCCACCTCTATCCCCAAGTCTGTTTTATGCTGATTAATGCTGATAAATCTCCCTTAAAGTCAGGGGCTTTTCCAGTTTCACATTAAAAGGGACTTCTGTTTTTGCTTTACATTGTATTTTTACAGATATTAGATGCAGCCATTGTAAAGATCTGTAGGTGTCAATCAGAATTTATTTCTCTACCTATAAGTGTAGTATGTTCATGTACAGTAAACTTGCATTTACACAAGATCTTAGTTTTTAAAATAGCTCATGATGCACTATGCAAGTTAAGTAGCTTCCAAGCTCTGTGGAAAGGGCTGGAGATAAAGCAGCTTGCAGGCAGCCATACCATCCCCACAGGCTCCGTGACACGCCATTCCTTTGTTAATTGTTTCAAAATTAAATTGTACAGTGAAAACAATTATATAATGGCCACTTACTGTAGACAAAACAGTAATAAAATACTAATTATAACTTCTTATAAGGAATCAGAGTAGGTTAAAGTGAAATTATGAAGGCACCTCCCTTTAAAAAGGCTGTTTAGTCACCACTGGAAATCTTTTACTGGAGACTGTCTGAAATAACAATGTATGAAGTTTAGATGRCGGTCATGTTAGTAAGGGTCCTTTTGCAGATCTTCCTACAGCTCCTCTCTGGCTCCATTTTCAGCCTAGGGCTTGGAGCTGATGTTCTCGGGCGGCTTTAGAGGATAGTGTTATTTTTTAGACATGAGGACTTTTATACCAGCCTCCATACCTTCATTTTCCAGGGCTGCTGTTGATCGTGTACATGGGAAAGGTGTGAACCTCGGCGCTGAGTGTGCCGGTGCAAGAGCCCTCGTGCAAATTAACTGTGCTTTTCTCTAGGTTTGGCCAAAGTCCCTTCTTACAACGGTGCATATGCCAACAACTGCAGACCTGTGGGACTGTCTGTGCTCGTCCCACCAGACACAGGGTTTCCTGTCTGAGAGCCGGGCACGGGATCGCTCACGACTGCCGCGTGTCGTTGCAGGTGTGACGAGTACGTCACGCAGCTGGATGAAATGCAGCGGCAGCTGGCGGCGGCCGAGGACGAGAAGAAGACGCTGAACTCGCTGCTGCGCATGGCCATCCAGCAGAAACTGGCCCTCACCCAGCGCCTGGAGCACCTGGAGCTGGACCACGAGCAGTCCAAACGGGTGCGCACAAAATCTGCCTCCAAAGCCAAGAGCAGTAACCCTAGTGTAAGTCATATTCGGTCCTGTGGAGACAGGTCTGAAGGTGCTGTCCTTAATAACCAGGTGTTTTGTAGCGAGAAATATAAAATTTACTGTGACTAGGAGAGGTGTGTAGAAGAAACGTATTATGCATCTTATTTTATGCTGTAACGGTCAGCGCAGATCCCCACTATCTAACGTCGCGGTGAGTTGACTTGTATTAGTATGTTGTTAAACCAGGTAATACGAATTGTATTATGGTGGTCTTAACTGTAACTAATTCGTAAGTACGGGGATGCTATTAACAAGTTAATAGTGGAAAGGAATTAGCTTTTTCCACAATTAACGTGTATGGGTTTAGCTATTTATGGTAAGTGTTAAAGGTGTATACCTGACATGCTATATCTGGTGTTACTAACTGTAGTTTGTATAGCACAAATGTGATCCTTTCTGCAGGGTTGCGGCATACTTCAATAAATGCTTTCACAGGCAGAATCAAACAGAAAACCTCCCTTGTTAGTGTGGCTTAAGAAGTGGTGAAAAGCAAATGTTAAGATTAGAGGTATGTCTTAGAAATGCAGAGCATTTCAAAACTGGAACCAAAATTAATTTGCCTGTTGCGGCAGATATTAAAATTTTGCCGTCATACCACCACTGACCAAAGTCCTAAAGCTTTTATAAACTATAAAAGCTGGAAAAACATGGTAGGATACATTATTTACACTCTGCTTTCCTCTTTTCAGGGGGTTTGCCTGAAAAAAACTTGCACATTTATATTAAAAAATATGCAATATTTACCCCATCTGATATAAAACTTAATTTTTTGAGAACTGGGATCCTACCTGGTAGACAGTTCCACTTCGAGAAGTTATGCTGKAGAAAAATATCATGTTCTGAAAGGATCTTCATGATTTCTGTTGCTCCTTACAGCATAATACTTCAAAAATAATCTTTTTCATTTATTACTGTAGCCACACAACATATCTGTGTAGAATTAATGCCACTATGGACTAGTATTGTCAGCTACAAAACAGTTTTTCTCCGCTTTCAGTGTTAATCTTTATAGGCTAGTATTTAAGAGCTCTGATTTTTCTTTTTTTAATATACAGAAGATATTGCATTGCTTATGCAAGCACATGTTTTGCAGGGCTCTACCTTATAGGCACACGAAATTTAACCAGATCATCCTGCTTATAAATACTTCTGGAGTAGCTTAGTATACGTATTAATCTTTAAAAACAAGCAAACAACCCTTTTTCTGCTACTGAATTTTAGGGGCCTTTTTAGCCACTTAATATCAATATATTCAATAATACAAAAGTGTACTTCATAATTGGTGCCTATATACGTGATAAACACACAGGATTGAAAAACGCCGCTTCTAAAATTGTGGAGAATTTGTGGAGCACAATAAGGCACGGTTTTTTTTATTTATTTTTTTCCGTTACCCGTTTTCAAGTGCCTGGCCTCAAGCTTGGTTCCCGTTAAAGCCCTGCTCACTTGCCCCTGCCAAGCGCTTGTGTTTGCCCGCAGCCTCGCCGGGAGCAGTGCGAGCCGCGCAGTTCTCTGCCTGGTGCCGGCGCTGCCCGGCCAGCAGCTCTGCCTCTCCTCGCTGCCCCTTCCTGCAGGAACAGAGAGAGCCCGGAGAGCTTCCCAGCAGCAATCCCTACATCCTCGCGTAGCTGGGAGCTCTCCCGAGGCTGACGTGAGGCAGCAAGGAGCACAGCCCCTTTGCCCTGGCAGGGAACCCGCCCGGGGCTCTGGCCGCCCAGGTGTTGGCGGGAGTCCAGAAATTCACGCACGGAGACGTGAAGGAAAACTGATGGAATCGTGGAGACCTTACTCCAGGGCTGGGAATGCGGCAGAGCCCCTCCAATGCCAGGCCTGCGTTTCCCAGCATTGAAGGGGGAAAATACCCCAGTGATTTAAATCTGATACATTGCCCAAACGCCTCTGCGAGAGAGGGTTCAACAAACAACTCTGGCCTTAGCAGCTAGGTTCTGGGCATCCATTATTATTATTATTTAAAAAAAGGCATTGAATTTCTTGAATTTGAGCTTTAATATTGCTGAGTAGCAGGCTYGATGTTTTAGAAACAAGGCATCTTTTAAGAGTTTTCAATCCTGCTTTTTTCTTGTTTGCTGCACAATCTTCCGAAAGGCCTTTATTCTTGTCGTTCCTGCTTCGTGCGTGATTCGGAAATACCTTGTAAAAGCAGCCTTTTTTGCGCCAACACAAACAGTTACCATCTTGCTTCCGCTGTGGCAGGGAGCTTTAATGCAATTTTCACCACTTCTATATCTCTGATAGCAGTATTGTCACAAAATACTAATGGTAGAAAGGTAAATTCAAGAATTTGAATTCATTGTTAGGATTTTGTTCGAATTAACTGGAATTTTATAGAAAGATTTCAGTGTCATCGAAGAGTGACTGTTACTTTCAGTCCAGTCTCACCTGTTCAGTTCCAAATATGAACAATTTTGCTATTAGCACAACAGGTTTAGTAATCATTTCCATCTTCATTTCTGTGGATCTTAAAAGAAAAACAAACAAAAACAGAAGCCTGGCTGCTTTTTGGACTTGTCCAGATTACAGTTTGACTTCTTTGAGTACAATGTTATAGAAAGAAACGAGCAACGGTGACCTGGTCCTGCTGTTTGTATGTTTAGATAATGACTATATCTAAGATTGAGGCTTGCAATTCCCGATTAACACTTTCTGGAAACATGTGTTTGGTGCAAGTCTTTCTTTGCACTTCCAGCGGTTGGGATGTCGCATGGGAAACTTAAGCCGTCGCCTACCTCTGCCAGCAGGCTCTTCCAGTGCTTCTGTTCTCTGCATTGGCCTGCATGATACATTGACCTGCATGTTTCGGAAGACCCTAAAGCTTCACTGAGTCTCTTGCACATTCACTGCTGTTGCCCTGTGCTTGAACAGCAAAGCTTTATTCAGTACTTGTAAGAAACCTTCTTCCTGCAGAGCTCTCGCTTCCCGGCCAAGCGCCGTTTCGTCGGCTTGGGAGGCATCCGCAGGCTCAAACGGCCGCTCCTGYCCTAACAGCCAACTAACCTGCTATGGAGCTTTTGCAGCACCTTGTATTCAGTTGTCAGTTTTTTAATTTAGAAATAAGTACTGTTTTTTTTTCTAATGTTATTTTATTTTTCCATTTTCAGCTGTAGAGTAGTCCCTGGAGAAGGCCTTTCCAACAGTGCAACAGCATTCTTAGCCTCTCACTGTGGCTAAAAGTGGTAGCCCGTTGCACAGAGAATGGATCTGACCTGACCTTACCTAACCTTAAAAAAAAACAAACTCCTTTTCCTCTCTACTACCTGTAACTCTCCTGTATGTCTCAAGCTATAAACCAACCAAGCTTTACTTATAAGTGCTGCTGCAGTAAGAAACCTTACAAGTGCTGAAGAAACCTACTTCAAAAGTAATGATCACCATATTCATTTATGATCTACAAAAATGTTCAGATGGGGGAGTTTATTTCATTGCAGATGCTCATTTTTTTATCTGATTGTTAAACCTGTGCACTTTTGATATTTTGATATTTTACATTAGCTTCTTTAATTCCTTATGTAGAAGAGTTTATATAGATGCAGTGGTTTGTGCTCATAGTTTCTCCCCGATTTGGGCTTGTGGTTGTTGATTTCCACATCAGCATGTGGCAGAGACTTTTTATKGGGGCTCTAGACTGTGTTTAGAAAGAGTTTCAACAAAAACCATGAGCTCTGCTAAACTATACGTGTGCTGTGCTTCAGCAGCTTTTTTATTATTAAGAAATGTTAAGCTTTATATGTTTAAATTACTGATTTTTTTTTTTTTTTAAACTGCCATGTTCATTAAGAAATCCAGGGTATTCAAATTCTGGGGTTTTTTTCATATTGTATTATTATTCTTAGGAATAGTTCAATGTAACAAGAAGAAAACTTGACTTTGCTCTGGTTAAAACAGTAATAGGCACTTGAAAAATATTAAAGTAGTATTACCTATAAATTCCAGAATTCCTGGGTTTTAGGAAGTTGAAGTATCATTGATTAACAGAATTTTATACAACTGTACCAGTTAAATTCCAAATTGGAATTGTTTTGTTACTTTTTCATTTTATTGTGCCAAATTATGGTGCATTTAGAAAGAAAAATTCTAAAGTTGTCAATGATAGGGTGTTATATTTCAGCGCCTTTCTGTCATTAATTATTGCCAGTAGTGCCTTTAATAATTTTAAGGGAGAATCTTAGAATAGCTTAGTCTATACGAGCAGAAAAGGAACGGCTGTTTTGGAATTTAGTAAAGACCTGGAGCAATAAGTGCAAAGTGAACTCCCCTTTCGCACATTTTTAATGGGTAGTCTTGCTATAGAGATTATATATACAAGAAATTGTAAAAAATTCTGTTAGTCAATGATATTTCATCATGCAAATCCTTGCAAATTCAGGGGTATAGAGAAAGAAAAAAAAAAAGAAAAGAAAAGAAAAGAAAAGCCTATACAAACCCGAATACACTTTGGGAACCAAATGGACTCGTACCGAACAGTTGAGCAAGACGTATTAACACATTTGTGGTTACAGTACAGAGGTTGTAATGGGAATACTGATGTTACGGTAGCTTCGTATGGTGGTGGATGCAGTTAACCCTAGTATTGTTTGCAAATGTGAAAGGCGGGACATTAATATCTTCTCTTGCATGTTGTATCTAATCATTGTGATTTCAGGAAACAGAAACGGGCAGCGCGTCAGCAGGCCGGGCCGGCGCCGGCGCCGCTTGCTGGGGCTCGCAGGGGTGATTAAATTGGTACTTGTTGGGGGGGAGCCTTCCCACTCCTCAAAAACAGTACAAATTGAAATAATATTGCCAGGGGAAAAAGATTTCTGTTTGCTGGAAGAAGCATTATTATTCCTAGATGTGGGGACTTCCAACTTCTGTTACAGTATTGATTCATAAGAAATATTGTTGCATTTAAAATTACTACATTTGTATGTGGGTATTTATTTGAAATGATGTCGAAGTACTGTATTATGTTCTATGTGCATTACCTTTTAGTGGTGGATTGGTCTCCATTTAATGTCATATGCATGTATTCTTGCCAAGTAACCTTTACACAGATCTGATAAAAGCAAATGTAATTGATAGAGAGAGAAACGTGGAAAGTGATTATTATTAAAAATATAACCGTGTATTAATTGGGTAACCTTAGGAGGCGTAAAGGGCAAAATGTTGCTCCTAAATTAATGCTAAAAATGTGTTTGTAGGAAAGCAATCTGCCTGCGTA